AGTTTTTTATTTGATTTTACTAAATAATATTAAGCATATAAAAAATATAAAGATATGTTTTTTATGAAAATAAAAAATCACCACCTACTGCACAAACATGATGTGTGGAAATTATTTTTAAAATCTTAACTATAGTTATATATTTTGAATAATTATTTGTTTTGATTCGGTTAAAGAATAAATAAATAGACAAAAGATGAATAGACAAAAAAAATTATCATCCAACGTGATAAAGTAATCAGGTTTATATGAAATAAGTATATAAAAACTAAAACAAATATTTAAAATTAATTAACATAGAATGATAAAGACTAAATTAATAAATTTCATATATGAAATCTCACAAACAAATGAAATGACACATAGAATGAAGTTGGAATAATAAAAAGAGGGAAAATGAGTAGCAAATAAGTTTCAAAAATGAATTGAAAATGCCACGAGAGAAAATGAAATCTTAGAGGGTGTTTATTGTATGTTGTTTATTCCCACCACAATAAGCTAAGTTTAAATGTGTGGATAAAAATCCTTAAAAATGAGCTTATTGTTTGAATTTTGTTTTTCTTATTTATTAAATTGATTTTAATAGAAGTTTAAATGTTGTTTGAATTTTGTTTTTCTTATTTATTAAAATATAAAGGGAATTTTATATATACCCTCTTTAAACATCAAAATATCATATTTGTCCACTCTAAAATATAAATATCATATTTACCCTTTATAAACATTTAAAATATCAAATTTACCCCAATCTTTATTTATAATATTTTTAAATATTTTATTATCATTCAAAAATCTTTACTTTTATCGATTTACTATTAAACCCCTTATATAATAAGACAAAATTGCAAAAATGGTCCCTGTGGTATGCATTTTTTTAGGGTTTTGGTCCAAACCCCGACTTTTTTGGATTGACAGTCCTTTTGAGTTACTTTGTTTGTGGTTTTGGTCCCTCGTAAAATTAAAAAGACAAAAATACCCTTCTGATACATTTTCTATGTTTTTTTCTATTTAATATAAAGTTTTATTAATAAAAATTATGGGACCCACCTATCTCCCCCCCCCCCC